GGTATATGAGCGGCGGAAAAGGAAAAAAAAAGAGACACTTACACAAAACAAACAATTAATTTGCAAAAACATACTGAAATAGAAAACAAGCAGCTTAAAATAAAACCAGACTCAATGGGAAAATCAACAGTTGTATCTCTCTATAACTATGAAATTCAATATTTGCCACTTGTAAAAACACGCATGCTCTAAAGTTCTTTCACTTGTATTATTAAATTATACGCAATGTATAATGTACAAAACGCACTATATAATGCCTTCAACCGTACACTTAATTTTCTCTTCACGAATGTAAATATGTATTAATTACTCTGTTCCTGAAATCTCCGAATGAGGAGATAAAGATTGAACGAATGAAAGAAAATTGCCAATAAGTTTAAGATTACGTTTTACTTGGGGTATCTGCTTTGGATACAGTGTTCTCAGTGTAAATGAAGCATTGTTTTGCGGAAATTTTTTTAGGACTTATCAAAATTGTTTTTGAATTCAATAAATCAAATTGTCGCATTTGTTATTTCCTTAAATTCGTTATAACGAATTTAATCTGTTATAACAAATTTGTTGAATTCGTTATAACGAATTCAATAATTTGTTAAAACAAATAAGTTTGTTTAACAAATTTGTTGAATTCGTTATAACAAATTCAAAAATTTGTTGAAACGAATTCAAAAATTTGTTTTCTGTTTTAACGAATTAAATTTGTTTAATCAAATTCAACAATCGGGTGCTATAGGAAAATATAAAAAAAATTCGATATAACGAATTTACTTCGTTATAACAAATTAAAGAATTCGTTTTAACGAGTTTAAATCGTTATAAAACGTTTTGGAATTCGTTATAACAACTTTTATTTTAGTTCGTTATAACGAATTCAAAAAAAATTGTTATTACGAATTAAATTCTTGATAACAAATTCGACAATTCATTATATCAAATTCAAAAATATTTTTTGATAGGTCCTAAATGGACTTCCTTAAAATTCACACCTAGATTTCTTAATTGTTTAAAGATTTCGATTTTTCTCCACAGTTGGGGTCAAGTGTTCATTATATCTCCCGCTTGAAAAATGAAGGTATATAGCGATGAGGGTGTCGGTCTATATGTCCTTCCGTCCGTAACATTTAGGAGTACCAAACTTTTATCCGCAACTCCTCCTATACCACTGAATATTAAAAGTGAACGAGACTTCCACACATTTTTTTTTTACATAGTGTCATTGTGCATCTCCTATTTTATATTTCTTGGAGCGTCAAAACTCTGCTCCCCGACTGAAAAATTCAACTGTTTCTAAAATTACGGAAAATATAATAAAATATCATGATTTTTTTTAATGAAAATATAGCATAAACAAATTTTATTTATTAACTACAATAAACACTGGAATTGAATTTTTTTAACCCATTGATCTTTTTAATTTTGTTCTCTGTCCGAGATTAGTACATAGCACTTCATGTTCCAGTCGGCGAGCTTTGACGCTATTTACGGAGATGAATGAAAATAAAGACAAACATGCCGTGTATGGTTTTTTAGATAAATTGTTGTAGAAGAGAATGCATATGGTTATAAACAGTTTGCTAGTGCATTTTCTCTGAAAGTGTAAAATATTGCGATTCTGGGGAGATGGTACTCCATTGTAATTCGGAGTTAGATACCTTGTGTTAATAATATACAATGGGTTAAAAAGATTATTACAGGAGTGAGTGCCTGTGAGCGGGTTGTTTTATGAACTTAGTGATCATCTCTAGTTTATTTTTGTCGATGCCTTTACTTTTTCTGTTAAACTTTACTCTTTACAGTAACCATAAAGAGAGAGTTAACTATTTAGTTTAAACATATAAACACAATTAAATGAAAAAAAAAGAAATAGCTTTTTATGACTGATGTTTTTTAAAGAAAAGACCCTTGCATATCTTAAAGGCCGTGTGCAATCTTTTCCTTGCTGTTTATCAAATGATTTATAGAATTTTATCTACTAATTTACTAAAACAACATCTGTCCATCAAATGAACATAACATTTAAATACACAAGAAAACCCGTCACAATCACAGCACAAACTGATTTCTCTGCCAAATTTACTAGGATGTGGTTTTTCGTATTTGCGTATTTTATCAAAGAGTGGATCTTTTTAAAAAAAGGTACGCAATGCACTATATTTGGGTTGGTCTTCTTTCAGCAATACGTCTTAAATTATATGTATTATACAGCTAAACCTAATATAGCCTGAAGAAGTCACATGCCGCACACGTAAATGTATATTTCATTGTAGGGGGAGCACAAGGCAGTTGTGAGTGGACGACAGCACTGGGGGGAGGGGGGGGGGTTAGAGGAGGCAAAAATATACATGAGAAAAATAAATCAATTTTTGTGTGGATATTGCATTAATTATATGTAAAATATAGCTGAAATAAGTTTTAAAAAACTGTTGCATAAAATTCCTAAAACTCGAGAGCTTTCGGAGGCTTCGCCCCCTGGGTCCCCCCGATCCCCCCCCCCCCCGGATGCGCCAATGGATAGGGGATGGTTCTCCTCGATCCATGGTACCTGATCGCACCTCTGATGCTTCTAAAGATCCGTGTTTGCTCTGCTCCAAATTCGTTTTGTTTCAATGTACTTTTGAGCGTGATGAATGTTAGTTTTCTTCATATCTCTTTTCAAATTTTCCTTTGAAATTAATAGAAAAAAGGCAAATAAGTGAATTGATTCAAATAGGCATATCACTTAACTTGAATCAAATTCTGATTTTGAATAAAACTTGCATTAAATGACAGGTTTTCTTTTATTAAGTATGTATATAGAATTGTTTTATGCCTGAGATATGAATCTACTTGAGGCCATATATCTTGATGCTAGACTGTAACTAGAGGTACTGTGAGCACTGAGCTCACAAAATGATACCCCCGGCTTTCATATGAGTACAAAGTCCATTTTATTGCTATAGGAAACCCCAAAACATACGTTGTATGTCCAACCAAGAAGTAAAATAGGAGATCACAATGATTCTATGTAGAAAAGATTCTGTGAAAAGTCTCAATGTTTTTTCAAGTGGTTTAAGAGGAGTTGCAGATAAGGGATGGGTACCCCAAAGCGTAACTGACGGACGGACATCCCTATCACTATACACCCCTAGCTTTTCAAGCGGATGTATAATCATGCAATACTTAAGGGAAATAATTGAAAAAAAAAAAGAATATACAATAATTGAAGACCAGAAGGACTATGAATTGGTAAGGTTTCCTTTATCTGTCTGTTGTCAAACAATATTTCAAAATGCTACCCCTTGTACATTTTTTGTGCATGGAGAATCTTGGTATGCAAGTAAATTACACTAAGATACAGTAATATAGTACTATATATTCATTTCCATGAATGGCAGAATGATGTTACCATGGTTATTAAAAATGGGTTCAACACACGACTCCAAATGCACTTTTTTTTTACAGTGCAAAAGTAAATTACAACAAGATACACTAGTATATTTCTGTGAAAATCTTTTAAAATGCTTCTCCTCATTCCGTTTTAATAAAATATTTTTACACGTTTAGAAAAGATAAGGATTATAAAGATTCATAATTCTGTGAAGTTAAAGTAACAAGAGGCCCAAAGCTCATAATGCCCACCTGACCTTGGTAACCTTGACACTGCTGTTCTTAGGTTGGTTCAGTAGATTCCCTCTATATTGCCATGAAAATTTGGACCCCATATGGGTTGCCCCATCCTAGCTTTACTGGGTCATGACTTAACCAAATTTGGATCCACGCTACATAGGGATTATGGTGACGGCTCTATATGAGTGAAAATTTCTCGAAAGGGACGTAAAACAACATACAATCAATCAATCTCAAGAACAATCAGGCCATGATTAATAATTACATTAATATGCAAGCATTTTCAGGTAGAGCAGATTCGAGTTAGTTTAATAATGGCCTTTGAGGATAGGCTGGGGTTGAAATAGGGATTCACCGTTTTACACTAGTATATAGAAAAAAAAATGAAGGAATGTATTTCAAGAGTAGAGGACCATACTGAATCATGCTTAACATTTTCATTTTGGACTCGTCTTTTCACAATTATGGACCCCTGGGTAAGGATGGGACTCTAATCGGGGATCAGTTTTCCATAATACATCTATAAGATGTATACGATGTATGGGGGGGGGGGGCTTCAGTCTTCAGAACACAGACAGTTATCATATGTAAGTCATATTGATGTTGAAGCATCCATATCTTGTATGGACTCAAGTTTGGTCATGACCCCTTGTGGTCAAAATTTTTCATGGGAATAAAAAGGGAAAAAATACGATAAAAACCTTATGAGTTACTTTGGTGAGCGTTGTGTTATATGGGCCTCTCGTTTCAGCCTGCCTTTCTAACTCCGTTTACCCACCATTCGCATGCAATCCAGTAAAATTGCTTTGTCCGTTTCTCTGTCGGTTTTCAGGCACGAATCCAGGAATTTTTTCCAGGGGGGGGGGGTCCAAAAAAGAAAAAAGAAAACCTAAATTCCCTTCCCTATCCATTAAATTACTTGACAAGCCAAAAAACAAACAAACAAACAAAACGTAAAATCCATTTCCCAAACGTGAAAAACACCTATTTCGTGGTGGTGATGGTGGGGTCCACGTTTTCTAGGGGGGTCCAGTCATTTTTTATTTGCTTCAGTATATACATTTAATACCTCTGCAAATTCCAGGGGGGGGGGGCGGGGTCCGGACCCCTCCAACCCCCCCCCCTTCTAGATCCGCGCATGGGTTTTGGTTCAGTCAGACCCACCCATATAATGATATACACCCTCTGTCATTTTATGATCAATCTATTCCCTTCAAAACTAAACTAAAACGAAAATATGACTGAATATCAAAACTACCTTATACGTTTATATTCATTGTGAAAGTGGTACGAAACTTTTAAGTCAATAATTTCAGCAAACGAAACGTGCTGTTAAATACATGTAACTGTCACCCCAAAGCCCGATTCTCGACTACACGCGTCCATTGGTGTGAAATAACCGTGTTTTACACTTGAATAAAATACATTTGATTTGTTTACACAACTATTTCTCCCATTGCTTCAGGAGTATATCAACATGAATTGCTAATTCGGTGATTAATGGGACTCTTTTAACATGTGGTATCTGCAAACATGACATTATAAGTAAACCTATTGAATAAGGTGAGTTCATTTATGATTTCAGTTATGATCATATATATCAAATACAACTCCTGGAGCATAAAAGAATACAGGTATGTTTAATGTTTTTAGTTAACTCTGTAAAAATTAACCACAGTACAAGTTCTTACGTAATTTAATAGATTTATTAATTTGATTTGTTAATAAGCGCAGACAGACTTCCTTGATCTTTGTTTCACATTCATTCTTAATGATCTCATTACTTCGTTTATAGTGGTCTAGGAATTGTGCTTAAAAAGAAGAAAAATTACACGAGAATGTTAGTCTCGTGTGTAAAATCCCTCACGGAAAAAAGGATTGACGATATTTTGATGGATGTTCTCGGGATTTAGAAAAAAGTTGTTAATTTTGAATTAACCTAAAATAATGCCTATTGCGTAAAGTGCTCTTCGTACTTTGGATATATCTTATTTAATATTTTTATTTATGAATGTTTCTAATTTAAAAACTCCTATTCTCTGAATGTGTGAGAAGCAAGATCAATGAGTCATAAAAAACATGACTGTTTTTAACAGGTATTCAAAAGTATTTCAAATGCCAGGAAAATCATTTTTAAAAAAATTACATTATTGTACGTTGATTAACTTTGCGTTGCTGATAAGATAACTTATAACTGACCCTGTCATAGGCAAGATAAGGGGTACAGTATCGATGATGATTTATTAACAGTACGGTGACTGATACATGGTATGTTCATACATGTACTATCATAAATAGTGTTTGAATTTGTCATTCACGGGAAAAAAGTAATAACATGTGCACTATTTTGCTATTTTTAAACGTGTAAAATTTAATGTCGTTTACAAAAATGATATGAACAAGCTTTTATTTATTTTATTAATCAATTTATTTATTTATCTATTCATGCTTTGCAGGTTAGAAAACTAAATGATGTACATGTACCTTTTATAATGCACTAATCGACGCTGATTACCACGAGGAGGAAATTTAATTGATGGTGATAAATGGAAGCAAAAAAATTGAAGTAGCTCATGCGTGTACAAAAACGTATTGCTCAGTGCTGCACACGGTTCAGTGTTCTCAGATAGGTGACTAATCACATGGAGCCAATTTGGAGTTATTTCCTACTATATAAGCCTCTGACTAAATAAGATTTTTGTGTCAGTCCCGATTATTTGTGCTCACGATGGCATCAGTGGCGAAAATTGCGTCCATTTTCATCCTCTTTTTTGTTACTTTTCTGATAGGGTTATTGCCCTTGGCAATGCTAAAACTATTTGAGAAGAAACTAGCCTCTCAGAGCAAGCTTAAGAAATGGATTGGAGTTCTGAACTGTTTTGCAGGTGGAGTCTTCTTCGGAACAGCCATTTTGCATTTACTACCAGAATCGGTGGAATTGTTTGAGGAGTCCGTTTCCTTTGACTATCCAATAGCTGAGGGACTGACAGGGGCTGGATTCTTCCTTATTCTACTGATTGAGCATATAATCGGGACTTGTGGTTACGGGCATTCTCATCATATGCATGACGTGGGACATGAAAACCCAGCACATATAGATACATATAAAGAAGGAAAAAATGAGAAAACGAGCACGTTCGATTTAAAATCATCAGAGAAAGAACAGTTGGAGAAGAATGGTGATTGTTCAGACAATGTTAAATATGGTGCAATTACTTTGGACAACACCAAAAAGGAGGCAGTAATCTCGATTCCTAGCGAAGAGGAACCTAAAGTAGAAATAGAAATGCATGACCCAGAATTTCTGGCATTCAGATCTATTGTTCTTCTTATGGCTCTGTCATTCCACATGATATTTGAGGGTCTGTCCGTCGGTCTTCAGAGATCCGATCCAAATACTTGGAAACTTCTTGGAATATTAACTATACATAAATGCATTGTTGCATTCAGTGTCGGGCTACAGTTAGCTGAAGGTTTCAAGAAATTTCGATCCATTCTCGTTTCTTTAACGTTGCTTTCGATCGTTGCCCCCATTGGTGTTGTCATTGGATACATCGTAACTGAAACGGGCGAGGACAGTCACAGTGAGGCTATTGCTGCAGGGGTGCTCCAGAGTTTGTCCGTTGGTTCCTTCATTTACGTGACATTCTTTGAAATCTTAAATAAAGAACTAAGGAAAGGCCGTAATCTATCAAAGGTCGTGTTCACAATCTTGGGATTTGGGCTTGTGATAGGACTGCAGTTCTATAAGGACGAAGCCCACTGAGGAGGAGTAAAAATCCTCGGAGCAGATTTGAATGTCTCCGTCATTGATATTCAATTTGTAAATAATGCATAAAAATACACCTCTTCATACTGTCATTAACAAGCACTTGGTAAGGACCTAAATATCATGGCATTTAATATTGCTAATATTTAGTGATTAGGTTCAATTGTAAAAAATAATTTTCTTTGTATGATTAAGAACGATTATATATTGTATATTTTTTTTTTTTAATTTTAACTTGAAACTCAAAGTATTTTGTTTAGTATCTTGTTAGTACTACAAAAAAACATATTCAGATAAAGTATTGCTTAGAGTGATATTTAGTCCCTAGGGTAGGGTGATGTAACTTTGACCGCCGGGTTAATTTCCACCCTTCCTAAATACCTTTAAATATTTTATTTCAATATAGCCTATTATTGTGTATGTAGTATGTACATCTATTTTATGCAGAGACAAAATGCATTTTCAATGTATTTTGTCGATAATAATTTTCATTTCCATGAGCGTAATTAAGTTGTTTACTGGAATATTACGTTATCCAAGAAGAGGTTTATAACCCGAAAATATCTGTATAGAAAATGTGTAAATCAAATGCATTTATTTCACATTATGACGAATTATGCATATAAAAACAATGTAACCTGAAAAATAAAAGGTACTCCGAAGTAAAAAAAAAAAGAAGATTCAGTAAAGTCTGTAACATAACAGGCAGTGGCATACTTGAACAAGACTTAAGTACAGGGAAATAATCGGTGGAAATTACACCACCCTACCCTATACTTAAGTTTTAACTCGTCGATGATTTTACTCCGTAACATCCATAATCAGAAAATAAGCGAGTTCTTGTTTATGATTTGTAGAATGACAAGCATAACTACATTTACATATACATGTAATAACTGCACTCATTTTTGTATGATTCTATGACGATGTCACTGTAAAAATAAATTCCATCTGTCAAATAAAAAATTCTATATAACATACAGATTCAAGGGATCATGTCGAGATATCATTGCTTGAATAATATTTACCTGAGAATATAGTGCTCTTAACTGATACACCAGCGATAAAAATGTTGGCCAAATACAGCATTTAAAATGATTGATAATATGTCTTCCCCATTGCAATATCTTTGCAATTTTTTGTTCTTTTTGGATTTTTAATTTCATTACTTCAAAATTGACCTCTTTCAGAAATTTTAACCCTGTCACACATGATCAGCTGGAAAGTAGAGTTCACATGCAGCATCCCAAGCATCTAATATGCATCTCCTGATGCAATGCCTGTGCAAGTAGTAGCCAATGTAGGATTTATTTTTACTTCAGAATTTATATTTGCAAGTGGTTAGTGCAGCATCGTAGAGCAAAGTACATATACTTAATGCAGCATAACTATTCCTGTTTATCTTTAAATAAATATTATTTATTCAAATATCTATCAATACATAAAACGATCTCTTTCGTTCAAGGTTTTCCCTTACAAATCGGAAATGCCAGTAGTAGTTTGCGTATTTTCCTAGCAGGACACAGTTAAGCATTAAACAATAATAGAGACATTTCTTCCATCAAGATGAAAATAGCTGGTGATGCGTCATTTACGGACTGCTGGTCTTCTGTGACCGAAGGAATTGCTGCTCCGCTACATCATTACTAAATTACGGACCCAGTGTTAAATGATATCTTTAGGACTGGAATTCATGTTATATTCTGAATAAATGAAGTTTCACCACTCAATTAGTTTAGTAACTATTCATAAATGTGTCCATTTTCAATTCCACCTGAGACACTCTAAAGATGATCTACCAATAAATCAGTTTTTTTCCCTCACCGTGGACTCTGTTGCAGGAATATGCCACTAAGAAGGCCCAATGTTTTACATAAAAGTATAAGAAACATCTTTCCAGTAAGCAAGTTATTGCCATATCTATTTACAATCATTGTCATGTATAATAATCGAACTTGTTCAAAGTTAAACGTTTTATGAAGGGTTAGTTGAGAAAATGATCACAAGACCATAGGCACTCCCCAGCTTAATTGTTAAAAAATATATATCTATCATACTATAAACATAACGTTATGTTTATAGTATAGTAGATATATATTTTTTAACAATTAAGCTGGGGAGTGCCTATGCACAAGACGTGACCTTTTATTACACTCAGGTGACTGTCAAGTCCCTTAGGCCTCATTTCTGTTGCATATTGCACTTGTCAGAGTTTTTGATAAACATTTCAAATATTCTTTGCAGTTTTACAAGTTTAGTAAGACGGAAATGCGTATAATACATTTACATGTAATTGATATATTTGTTAAAAATTGTATTAAGGCCAATAAAAAAGGAAGTAAGAACAAGTTGTTCTGACGTCACAGCAGGAATTCGGTTACAAGAACTGTTTAAGAACGAAGTATTAGTTGAAAAACATTTAAGTACAAATTTAACAAATACCTCTTATCACAATGTCATCAGATCAGATCACATCAACAAAATCTAGATAATAAACAAATAATCGTCATGTGTCCTTGGGAAGGGAAACTTCAAGTAAGTTCAATACAGTAAAGAATGAATTTAAGAACTCTCGAATCCCGCCTACATTGTACATTCTTTTAATTTAATAATAATGACAATTTGGCCATAATTTTTTTTAAATGCAAAGAAGAGTTAAATGATAATTGATTAATAATTTTAATACCATTGTCAAATACTTAATTACTCTTAATTTCAACTCTTTTTATAAGGGGGGTAGACGATGTTTTCTATTGAAATCAGGCACCAGATTTTACAATATTTTTGGATATGGATAAATGTCCCTTAAATCTTTATTTTGCTTAACTCATGTAAAAATAAATATATATGACTGATAAAATACAATGGTCTAGTTGTAAAGTCCTTAGAAATTGGTGAAAAAAGGTCATTTTTGCTGGAGTTTTTTTTTTTTTTTTTTTTTTTTTTTTGGTGCTTTGGCATGAATATGTTAAATTTAATACCTGTAAAAAGGAATTTCTGTTTCACGGGGGGTGGGGTGGGGGGAGATGTTTTAAAACTATTTTCCGTTTTCCATTGATAACTATAGAGAAAACCACAAGTTTTACCAAAATTATCTCTCTTTGTTTTCCAAAATAAATTAAGTTTTGTGAATTTTCATATGAACATCTATATAAATATGAAAAATCAGTCAAATGTCTAAACTTTTGATAATTGACTTTGAGGTAGGCGGCAGGACAATACATGTACTATCGTTCGCAGTTATTTCTGTGTTAACCTTATTCTATGCCTCGCAAGGTCGAACTCTCTCAAATGTTTTACGTCAAAAGTTTGGAGAATACACCAGGTAATGATAGAATTACAAAGACAAAAGCAACATGACTGTAAAAGAATTCCTATTGAATAATAAAAGTGATAGATTTGGGGATGGGGTGGGGGTGCTGTCGCTTTTGGGGGAAAAAGAAGTGGGGGAAATATAAATTTTTTTCTTTAGGATTGTAAGTTTCTCTTCCCTTTAGCTTTTATAATAACTTTGGAAATCCTGGCCTGGATTTTAGTTTTTTTAATGGCAAAATATATATGGCTCACCTGAACTAAAATCTCAATTAAGTTTTTCCTATCACATTTTGTCCGTCGTCCGTCTGTAGACTTTACATTCTCGACTTCTTTTCCAGAACCACCTGGCCAGTTTCAACCAAACTTGCCACAAAACATCTTTGGGTGAAGGGGATTCAATTTTGTCAAATAAAGGGCCACGCACTTTTTCAAGGGGGAGATAATTAAGAATTTATATTCAAAAAATGGTGACATCTTTTAAATATCTTCTTCTCAAGAACTAACGAGCAAAAAAATTGAAACTATATGTAGTGCAGGCTTGAATATCTTAAAATCATGACCCCCAAGGGTAGGATGGGACCACAATTGGGGATCAAAGTTTTCCACAGGAATATATAGGAAAAAATCTTTAAATTACTTGTCAAGAACAATAAAGCCATTAGTCAGAGTGATAAAGAAGCATCCTCAGGTAGTGTAGATTCAAGTTCGCCCAAATTTTGACCCTAGTGGTACGATGGGGCCACAATGGGCAATCAAAGTTTTACATAAGAATATAGAGGATTACATCTTTAAAAATTTTCTTCACCAGAATAACAAAACCATGATTCGTTATTTTGATATGGAAGCATTCTCAGGTAGTGCAGATTTAAGTTTGTTCAAATCAGGACCCCCGGAGGAAAGATGGGGCCACGGTGGGCTATCAAAATTCTTCATAGGGATAAATGTATATAGGAAAAAATAAAAATCTTCTCAAGAATAGCAAAGCCATGATTAGTCATATCAATATGGAAGTATCTTCAGGTAGTGTAGATTCAAGTTTGTTCAAATCATGATACCTTGGTATGGGTCATAACAGGGATCAAAATTTTACTCAGGAATATTTGATAGAAAAAAAATTGCTGATGAAAAACAGCTTGGCCATATTGATTCAGGTGATTGCTGTGGCCCACGGCATGCTTGGGTGCAGAAACACTAGGGTGCAGATTCAGATTGGTTCAATAGATGTCCTCGGGGTAAGTTTTTGAAGGAAATATTAAGAAAGAAAAATTAAAATCATTTAAATCTTCCTTTTAGGAACAGAAGGCTTATGATTGCTCATTTTAATATGCAAGCGTCCTTAGGAAATGCAGATCAAAATGTCTTGATCAAATCTCCTAAATGAGGAAGTTGAAAATATTTTACATAAGAATAACTATGAAAAATTGTTTTTTTTTTCACAAGAATTAGCGGGGGTAAGAATTTATATGAAGTTGCAAGCATTCTCAAGAATAAAGAGGGGAGAAAAAAATCTCCTCAAGAAAGGCAGGGCCAGTGAAGTCCTTTGGTGAGCGCTGTGGCCCACGGTCCTATGGTTAATCCAATATTAAAAAATAAAATAAATAAATTGATTTTTTCCCCTCAAGAATAGCAGGGTTATGTTTGATTAAACTGATACGCAAGATGTCTCAAGTAGTGAAGATTTAATTTTTTGTTTTCAAATAATGGTCTCCCACGGATGGGGGAGGTCACAATAAGTATACACATTTTGCATAGGAATACTATATATATAGTATTTTGAAACAAATCTTTTAAAGATCTTTTCAAGTGCAGC